TTAAGGTGATGGGTTTGGGAATTTGGGATTTGAGGAATTGGAATTAGACTTTTATAGGTGATAGAATCCCTACAGGGTGGAAGAAGGCCATTTGCCCATTGAGTCCACACTGACCCTCCAAACCACCCAGACCCAAACCCCTGTCCTAACCCTGTAACCTTGCATTCCCCATGCCAAATCCACCTAATCTACATATCCCTAGACACTATGGGCAATTTAACATGGCCAGTCTACCTAATCTGCACATCTTTGGACTCTGAGGGGAAACCGGACCATCCAGAGGAAACCCACACAGACACGGGGCGAATGTGCAAACTCCACACAGACACCCGATGGCAGAATTGAACTAGGCCCCTGGTTCTGTGAGGCAGCAGTGCTAACCACTGAGCTACCATGCTGAGGTCAACGAGCATCATGGGTGACTGGCTATGTACAGAGCGGGGAAGGACCCAAGCAGCGGAGGCTTGATCTCAAGTTTATGGAGATTGGGAAATGGGAGACTATTTGAGGAGCATTGAGTGTCCTAGGTCTCGTGGTAACAAAAGCATGGGTGAAGGTTTCAGCACCAGATGAGCTGAAGTGGGACAAAAAAAAGTGGCATTGGAGGGTGTAGAGGAAATGGGGGAAGAAGTAGATGGTGAGAGTGATGGTGTGAATATGTATAAGGAAGCACATCACATGCACAAATATGACACTATGGTTATAAACAGTCTGATGAAACCTTAGATAGTTGCTAGGAAAGGGGTGAGGTCAGTAATTAGGGAACGACGTTTGTAGCATACACCAGAGGCAATGTTTCCCCGTCCGGATCAGATGCCCTTCAAACAGTCTTGCAAAGGGTGGATCAGGATAGTGGGGAAGTACCTGCGTTAGGGTCATTAACATACATTTAGTAGCATTTGCCGCATTTTTGAATGGTTTCACCAAGAGGCACCATTTAAATGAGGAAAAATTGGGAATTTTGACAGTATTTGGGAATAAGAATTGGGGATGATGACAGAGATTTGGAATATGGACAGGAATTTAGAATAAGAATTGGAATGAGGCCACGGATTGGGAATAAGGACTGGGTTTGGATATAAGAATTTGAAACAAAGACAGGGACTGGGAATAAGGATAGGGAGTGGGAATAACACTTCAGGTTAAATACAGGGACTGGGAATAAAAATTGGGAGCAAGAACAGGAATGAGAATAAGAACAGATATTGTGAATAAGGATAGCAATTAGGAATAAGAATTTGAGATGAGAGGAATTGTAAATAAGGATTCAGAATAAGGACAGGGATTTGGAATAATAGGAATTGGGAAATAACAGCAGGGATTGGAAACAAGGATAGAGACTGAGTCAAATTTGGGAATAGGGACTTTGAGTTTCTGTGAACTTTTGCCAGTTTTGGATCTGCCACTTGCACCAACCCCGATATTCTACCAATTGGAGAATAAAAAGAGAAGCAAAACTGCAAATTAAGATCGTCCATTCTCAGGTCAGTGATATCCAGACTGACTGAGATGTAATGGTGCAGGAGCAGGAAGAGAAACCATTGCGGATGATTCTCTGGCTGCGTCTGGATAGATAAGAAAGGAACCAGGTGAGAGCAGGACCACCCAGTTGGAAAAAGTGGTCAAGGATCAGGGAAAGTCAGCATGGATTTCTTAGGGGAAATCATGTTTGACAAATTCGATTGAATTATTTTGAGCTGGTGACCAGAAACATTGGTGAGAATATTGCATTTGATGTGGTCTACATGAACTTTAGCAAGGCTTTTAATAAGGACTCTCAAGGTCAAGAAAGTAAGAGCCCATGGGATCCAAGGCAAAGTGGCACGTTCGGTTCAAAATTGGCTGAGAGGCAGGAAGCAGAGGGTGATGGTAGAGAGATGCTTCTGTGACTGAAAGTCTATTTTCAGAGGGTTTCTGCAGGGTTCAGTGCTGGTACCCTTTCTGTTTATGGTGTATGTTAATGATGTAGACTTAATTGTAGGGGGTATGAACAAGAAGTTTGCAGATGACACAAAAATTGTTACTAGACAACTCAGAAAAGAGTGAGGTAATGCAATTGGGTAGGGCTGATGAGGCAAGTGATTACACTGTCAATGGTAGGACCTTGGGAAATATTGAAAACTCAAAGAGACCTTGGCCTACATATCCCTGCATGGCAGATAGATAAGGTGCTTAAAAAGGCATATGGAATACTTGCCTTTATTACATGAGGCATAGAATACAAGAGCAAGGAAATGTATATGGTGAAAATGTCTAACACACTGATTAGGCCACAGTTGAAGTACTGTGTGTGCAGTTCTGGTCACCACATTATAGGAAGAGAGAGTGCAGCAGAGATTTACCAGCATGTTGCTTGGACTTCAGTGATTCAGCTGTGAAGAAAAACTCAATAGAATGGGGCTGGTTCCCTTACAGCCGCAAAGGTTGAGAGGGGACATAATAGCACTGTATAAGATTACAAGAGGCATGGGTAGGATGAATAGGAAGCCACTTTTTCCACTTGTTGAGGAGTCAATAATCAGGAAACATAGATTTAAGGTGAGAGGCGGAAAGCTAAGAGGAGAGTTGATGAGAAATTATTTCACTCAAGAGGGTGGGGAGAGTTTGGAACTTGCAATCTGAAATACCAGTTGAGTTGGAAAATCTCGTAACCTTTAAGCAGTACTTAGATCTTCACTTGCATTGCCATAGGCTCCAAAGCTATGGGCCAAGAGCAGGATGAAAAAAAGAACAAAGAACAATATAGCGCAGGAACAGGCCCCTCAGCCCTCCAAGCCTGCGCTGACACATTTTGCCCTTCCATACTAAAACTGCCTTCACTTACAGGATCCGTATCCCTCTATTCCCTTCCTATTCACGGACTCATCTAGGTGTTTTGTGAATACTGCCATCGTGTCTGCTTCCACTACCTCCTCTGGCAACGCGTTCCAGGCATTCACCACCCTTTGCATGAAAAACTTGTCTAGCCCATCTCTTTTAAATGTCCCCCCCACCCCCC